TGGGGGATGGGCGGGGGAGATGGCGCTGGCGAGCGCCTTTGTTCCCCACCAAACTGAGCTCTGTCGTCAGGGGGCTCAGCAGCTCTCCTTCCCTTTGTCCTCCAGCCTTCCCGCTTTCTGAGCAGAGCTGTTCACTTATGACCTGCCAGACGCTAAGTCGCGCTTGCTGTCGCAACACAGTCCTTCAAGCCCCTCTGCTTTTTGCAAGCCAGACTCGGGGGCTCTGCTTGGCCGGCGAGCCGCCCCTCCGCCCCGGCTCCCTCCCGCCAGTCCGTGGAGCGCGCACCGCCTTGCCGCCCTTCCTACCCTCTTCCGTGGGCCTCTCGTCTGAGCTTGGCTCCGGCGACTCCGTTCTGCTAATCCTCTGGTGGTTTTCTGTGTTATTTAGGCAGATGTAGGTGGAATCTAAGTGATCAGCAGGATGCGCGGTGAGCCCAGCGTCCTCCTACGCCGCCATCTTCCCTCCATCCGAGTATGAAAGATTTTCAAAGACTTACTTTTTTTTCAGTAATGTAGATACTGAAAAATTTTAACTTATATTTCTAACATCAAAAATGATATTAATATATCTGGTCTCTTTGTTTTTCTTGATCATACTTACTGAACATAACATCATATGTTATTAATTTAAACATATTTCAGACCCTTTTAGCTGATATCAACACTTGATAGAGCCAGTAAAGATTTTCTGTTGTGACTTATGTAAGAAATGACTTGTTATCCCTCTTTGATATACTCACTATTCCTACTACACTCTCTCAAATAACCATTGTTAACATTCTTCCACTGTTTCTGCATGTTCCTATAAACATACCAGCACATGTATAAGCACATACCTAAACACATATGTAAGGATCACCCATGACATAGTATTCTGAAATTTTAAGTAATGGCCTTTTGTTTAATGGGGATCACTCATATATAAGTCATACTACTGACATTTTATTAAACATCTAAAATTTAGACTATAAACCTAAACGTAGTTTCCAAATGGTAAAATATGTTAACTAAGGTTGACCACATATTGTTTTTAAAGTGAAAAAAAAAAAATAATAATAGTGCAGGGAAACTTGAATTCTGGAGTCATTTTGGGTAAGATGGTTATGTATCATTTTATGTAAAAGTTTATTTATATAAGGTACATATAGGGGAAGTATTTTTAAATGGAAAGGAGAACAGCAGTAGCAAATGGTAAGCTATAGTTAATTACTTGTTATGAAATATTACTAATATTGAAAATATTTTCAATAGTTTTGATTAGGAAACATTACTGTCTTTGAAAATACAAGAGTTAAATAGGACAGAATATTTGTAACTTTATATGTTCATATTCTTTTTCATTTCTTATGTCGTAGTGTTTATGTTTATTCTTAACATAAACCCTAAGTGTCGCATGTGGATTGTCTCCCAACATTTTTATCCCAAATTGGTTATTCTCCACCATCCAGCATATCTCAGATCATGTTTCATTTGTTTGCTTTAATTTCTGTTACTATTTATTTGCTCAGGTAATACAAACTAATGGTATTAAACTATAGAAAAATATAACCGGGTCAGAAAACCCCTTATAAAAAAAATGGTACAGTGTGTTCCAAAGCCATATGGGATTTAAAATAAAATTTTCAATGCCATTAACGTCTTTATAAGGATGTAATTGGGAGAAGGGCAGAGCAACAATTCATATTTCTTCAGTGTCTTCTCAGGGAATGGACTCTTTTTTCATTTTGTAATGTTCTTCTTTATTTCTGGTAATATTCCTTGCTCTGAAGTCTACAACGTATGATATTAATATGGCTATTCCAGTTTTCTTTTGATTATATTTGATACTACATTGTTTCTGTCTTTTTACTTTAGTCTTAACTGTGTCTTCAGTGTAAAGGTTGATTCTTTTAGATGACATGTAGTTGGTTCTTCCTTTTTTATCCAATTTGATAATCTCTGTCTATTAATTGGTATGTTTAAGCTATTTACATTTAATGTACTTTTTGATAATGGTATAGTTTAAATCTACCTCTTGCTAATTGTTTTGTATTTTTTCCATTGTTTTTTTCCTTTTTATTCCTCCTGGATTTTTTTAAAAAAATTTATGTATTTAGTTTTTTATTTTTGTTTTTTGTATTTTTGTATTCTATCTTCACTCTTGGCTTACTATTTATACCTCTTTTTTAATTCAGTGACTGCCTTAACATTTATAATAAGCATTTTAAATTAATCAGTTATTGTTTTCAAATATTATGCCACTTCATGTATAGTGTATGACTCTTAGAATACTATACCTCAAATTCCTCCTTCTCATCCTTTGTGGTATACATTTATCTTTTCATGTGTTATAAACCCCATGATCTATTGTTACCATTTTTGTTTTAGACCAGGAGTCAGAAAACGTTTTCTGTAATTGGCTAGATGATAATTGTTTCAAGCTTTGTGGCTGATATGGTTAGTCTCTGTCATAACTACTCTACTCTGCTGTTGTAGTGTGAAAGCAACCATAGACAATATATAAATAAAAGAGCATAGTTATGTTCTTTTTTTTAAAGTTTATTTATTTTTCAAAGAGAGAGAGAGCACAAGTGAGGCAAGGGCAGAGAGAGGGAGGAGAAAGAGAATCCTAAGCAGGCTCTGCACTGTCAGCCCAAAGCCCAACACGGGGCTTGAACTCATGAGCTGTGAGATTGTGACCTGACCCAAAATCAAGAGTTGGACGTTTAACCGACTGAGCCACCCATAGCTATGTTCTAATAAAACTTTGTCACACTTCAATTAGAATTTCATTTTATTTTTACATGTCTCAAAATATTACAATTTTATTTTATCCATTGAGAAGTGTAAAAACATTCTTAGCTCATGAACCACATACAAACAGTTGGCAAGCCAGATTTGGCTAGTGGGCCATATTTTATGATCACTGCTTTAGATAGTTATTTTATTATTATTATTATTATTATTATTATTAATTTTTGATAGAGAGAGAGAGACAGAGTGCTAGCAGAAGAGGGGAAGAGAGAGATGAAGACACAGAATCTGAAGCAGGTCCAGGCTCTGAACTGTCAGCACAGAGCCCGATGCGGGGCTCAAACTCATGAACCATGAAGTCATGACCTGAGCTGAAGTTGGATGCTTAAACGACTAAGCCACCCAAGCACCCCTTCTTTGATAGTTCTTTTGATAGTTCTTCTTTTGAGAGTTTATTTTTATATAAAGAAATGATATTTTAAAAAATGTCTTCTAAGTTTATCTTTATTTTGCCATCTTCAGAGCTCCTCATATCTTTTTTCAGATCTAAGTGATACTATATTCCTTCTGCCTGCAAAATTACCTTTTACCATTTATGAAAATTCATCACTTACAGAGCTACTATGTGGGTCTCAGTATTTATCTACCGGAAAAAGTCTTTATTTCACCATTATATTGAAAAATACTTTCTCTGAGTATGGAATTCTGGCTTAGAGTTATAGTGTACTTGATTTTTCTTCTTATTACAGTGGGAGTGATTCTACATCTAGGCAAAGAAAAATTTATGCCTTCATTTTGGAAAATAATTACAATAAAAATATTATGTGTTTTTTTTTAAAGTTTGTTAAATTTATTTTGATACAGAGAGAGTGCACAAGCAGGGTAGGGACAGAGACAGAGGAGAGAGAGAATACCAAGCAGGCTTTGCACTGTCAGCACAGAACCCTATGTGGGACTTGATCTCACGAACCGTGAGATCACGAACTGAGCCAAAATCAAGAGTCAGATGCTTAATTGACTGAACCACCCAGGTGCCCTGACAATAAAAATATTATGTATAATTTCTTAATAGAGTCTATCCAGAACAATAACTTTATAACAGGTTATTGTTGATAGTTTTCCAACTCATATATTTAAAATAGTTTGATTTAGATCACCAATTTGCCATCAAGGTCTGCTAGTGACTCACTCATTATAGATGTTACATGCATGTTTTCTAGAAATGAAACAACTGAAGTCACTGCATTTTCTTCTTGATGTAGGGTACTAGTTGCTTCCTGCGCTGGGTCAGAAACCTGGATGATGAATTGCATGCTATTATAGCTGGTAAGGCAATGATAACACAAGAGTTACTGCTGTTGCATCAATCCGTGGTAGGAATGACTCAGAAATAGTTTCCAAATTCATCTGATTTCTGTATAACTCTTTTTCTCCATAATAGAATCCCTACTGAGGGACCAGTCCACACATTTTGTATGCGCCAAGTTTAACATACCCAGGCATTCTTGCCATCTGATGTTTTGAAATGGCAATATAATGACTTGGGTATCTGGCCTGCTACAGGCCAGGAATCCTAGGGAATGTGTTATAAAAGAACATAAAACTCAAAAAATTTGGTGACTAATGGAAGCACAGTTATATTGCTTGAAGCATTCTGGTTTTGCCACTGGCAAGTGACATATATTTTAATCATATATATTTTTATTTTTAAAGAACTTAATTAGTTTCATAAAAATAAGAACTCAAGATTAACATTTTCTGCAAGTACAGCATACATGCTACTTAAGTAAAATTGACAGTTTACAGATATTTATTAGTGATATTCCTGCTACCAGTATTCCGGGTCTCCCTCTGCCTTTGTTTCCCATTTATGGAACAAAGGCAGTGCTATGGAGAGAAGTTTGAGGATATCACTAAAAGTAATTTGAGCTGTTAGAAGAATTGATTAATAAATATTTTCACTTAAAATGAGAAATGGTATCAATAACCTTTAAAAATTATTTTTGAAAATCATTATATTTGTTAAGACTACTGTTTTTAAAGTTATATTTAGAATATAAAGTGTCTTTGTAATATATATGTCAAAACTGTGTGTTCCTAACTCTGAAAGTCAATTTCATAATTTAAAAATGTGTGATATCAAATTCACCTCATTTTAATGTCATCACATATATTACTGTCCTTATTTTTGTACAACAAAGGACAGTGCTACAAATCGATTGTGTCTTACTTAAGTGAGTGAACTTTTCTGAATGACTTAATAACAAAGAAATACTTTGAGATTTGATCAGTTTTGCTTTATTTGTTGTTTCAGGCTTTTTGGCAGGAGTATCAATGATGTTTTATAAAAGTACAACAATTTCCATGTATTTAGCTTCCAAGTTGGTAGAGGTAAGCAAACATCTTGATGCATGCACAGCTCTAAAGGATGTAGAGCCTTCCATATCCCAGTTACAAGGGCTAGTCAATCCTATAAAAGTACTGACAAAGTCAGTTCTCCTGTTTCTTCTTCTTTCTTTATGTGTGTTATTTTCAAATATACACAAGTGTAGAAAGAATAAAGTAACTAACTCTCGTGTACCTATCATACAGTTTCAACAGTTAACATGTGACCAGTTTATTCCACCTGTACTGTCCCAACCCCACAAGTACTGAATTAATTTAAAGCAGATCCCAGACAACATATCACTTCTTCCATAAATAACTCAAGGTAAAGACTCCTTAAAGACTATGGCTAAAAGGATAAAGACTCCTTAAAAACAAATCAACACTACTACCAAAGTACAATCAAAATACTATTGTCACACATGTAAAAAACCTAGTAATTTAATATTATCATATATCCAATTAGAGCTTATATTCTCATATCTCACAGATATCTTCTGCAATCTGTTTTAATTGGGATCCAAAGTCTCTTTTAGTTTTTAATAGCTACCTCCTCCCCCTAACCCCCTTTCTTTTTTTCCTTGCCATTTATTTGTTGAAGATCTATGTTATTAGTTCTGGGAAATTTCCCACATTTTGGATTTTGCTAATTATATCCTTACTGGTGATACTAATATGTTTCTTTAACCCAAGTGTTTCCTATGAACTGTTTGTTAGATATAGAGGTTTAAGCAATTCAGTTTCAATTTTTAGGGGGTGGAGGGGACAGAAATACGTCACGTTTACTATGTGTATGAATTCCTATTGCATCACATTAGGAAGCACATTAGTTGTGTCTCTTTTTGTGATGCTAAGATTGATCATTGCGCTCTGTTAATACAACTAACATAAAGCTCCCCATTAGGCTTTCACTTAATTGTTGTAGCACCCATTATTAATCATTACCAGGGTTTATTATTTCATTGACAGTTGCAAAATGATATTATAACATTATTGTTTCTTCTAATTATTTACTTGTGCAGATTTTTTAAAATCTTTTTTTAATGTTTATTTTTGAGAGAGAGAGAGTCAGAGCATGAGCAGGGGAGGGGCAGGGAGAGAGGGAGACACAGAATCCGAAGCAGGCTCCAGGCTCTGAGCTGTCAGCACAGAACCTGATGCAGGGCTCGAACTCACAAACCATGACATTATGACCTAAGCTGAAGTTGGATGCTTAACCAACTGAGCCATCCAGGTGCCCCATGAGTTCTTTTAAAAAAAAACTTTTCCCTTTTCAACTGTTTGGTTACTCTGAAATAGTTTGATTTGTTCACAAAGTCATAATAAAATGCTTGATTACTTCCCTTTACTTACCAGTGTTCAGAATGAATTGGCCCCTAGCATTCTGCAAAACTGACTTATTTATGAGTCTTTATTTTTAAATGTCATTATGAAGATGTAAATTTTAGAATATTTGGTCTTGTTTCAACTCAGGAATTACACTATCTTTGACCATGAGAGCCTCTTCGAGTTGACTTCTGTTTCTTTTTTATATAATGCCAATATCTCTGAAAACTTTCTTGCTTTGTGATAAAACAAAATGGTCCAGGCTCATTTTGGACATTTCCTGCCCTAGAAACAGAATCAGTCTTTTCTCCAATGACCCCTATTCTTTTGGTGGGAAATGGTATTTAGAGACTTCAATTTGGGTACTTGGGTACTTCTTGCTTCTAGGCTAGTTATTATTTTTTGGCCTTCCCAGTAAAAAGAGCTAGAGAATCCTTTTCCCCCCTTTCTTTTTAGAGAAAGAGAAAATAATGAGCATATTGATATTTCCAATTCAAAGTTAAGATTATAGATTTATTTGACTTCATTTTAGAAAAAATTTATCTCTTGGCACAAAAACAGACACTTAGGTCAATGGAACAGAATAGAGAACCCAGAAATGGACCCACAAACGTATGGCCAGCTAATCTTTGACAAAGCAGGAAAGAATATT